GATATCGAATATTCAGTTAAAGAAGTGAGTTAGGAGAGTTGGTGTTCTCTTGAACAAATCACCAAGGCGCCAAGATAGGTTCATCAAGAGCAGGAAGGAACAAGGGAAAACAGGAGGTTTTCCCCGTGGACCGACCCGTGACGAGATCCTATTCCCGGACCCTCAACAGCCCTCATCTTTCTTTTCTCTGAGATTGGTAAATCAGATTGAGGTCTGTAGGAAGGATGAAGAATTCCTTGTAGATGGCTTGACTAGAATCTTTTATTGTTTATGCAGATAAAATGTGCTATTACATTAATACTCAACCAAGACTATTTTTTAATTTGTTTTTTTTTTGTGCATTTATAGTGGCTGTTATGAGCTAATTTTTAGTTAGAAATAATATTTTGATCTAAAATAAAAACAAATTAACATAAACTATAAACAAATCAAGGCGTCTTTACGTATTTTGACATAGAAAATTGAAGTGATGGAATTATGGTCCATGGAGCATAGGATCTTGATTTCTGTTGAAAAACCTACTAGAGACCACATGTTTTCTTGTTGCATTTTTCTATTCCTTGATGGCCTTCATCTTCATAAGTAGAAAACATGTTACCATGTCACTAGAATATATTGCGCATCTTCATAAGTAGAAATTGCCATGTCACTGGAATATATTGCATATTCAAATGTATTGAAGGTCTGCAGCTGTATTAATGGTTATGCAAATTATTTGTGAATCAAACAATCTCATTATATTATTCTAGTCTTGTATTTCATGCATGGAGTAGTTGTTCTTCTCTAATTTGTTGTTGGGTACTCAAGTACTGTTACTGGTGGAATTATAGTACAGGCTGCATTTATGTGATTAAGAGATATTAAGGGATTCTTTTGAATTGATTCACCCTTGTCACTAAAAGTAAAACCGGATGACTTTTCTTCATCTTTGTATTTTATCCCTTTATTGATAGTTACTTAAAAACAAAAACACTGAACTCCATGTACCAGGTTCTAGCCTTCTAGGGTAATCATTTGTTTCATCCATTAGATTTGTTTGATAATTGTGTCCAATATCTCCCCCCCCCCTCCCCCAGGACTGTGGATGGAAAGGCTGGGGGGAGATATCCTATGGAGGATATGGATGCGTACACCGTGCGAAAGCAGCTGAGTTTCTGGTAAGTACCATACTACTTTCATCTTTTTTTTTTTTTTTTTCAATATTCAATTCTGTAATTGATGTATATTGTTAGGCTAGTCGGATTTGGCTTATAAAGAAGTTTCTCAATGGTGTAATTGGGTCTCAATGTTGTGCAGCAATCCTAGATTAGTTTTCTCTAGGGTGTGATAATTCTAAACCATAATTCTCTTTTGCTAAGCATCTGGTTTAAGGCCCGAGTTGGCAAAGTTCTGATTAGTATTTAATTCTAGTTCACCAGAACCACCTATTTTATGTTTTATTTTTGAGTGTACATATAGTTTCTCTTTTTGTTTGTCCTTTCTATGACTTTATCTTAAAGTCTAATGAGCTATCTGTTTAAACATTTTACATGTGCTTGGTTTTAGATTCCCTAGGAGTCCTGGAAATATTTTGATTTTTAAGTGAAACAACAAAGTCAAAGTCAGCTCTCTTTCTTGGTGATAAAATAATGAATGGAGAAAAAAAGAGAGAGATAAGAGGTTTTATCTCTCTTTGTTTGATTGTACTCATTTACAATTTTATTTAATTAATAAATTCATGGTTATTGATAAAAAAGACACAGAGAGCACAAGGTGACCAGTGGATCTAGTTCCATGGATCTTGATTGTAACAGGATTTCAGACACGTTGGGGATAGAAAAAAGAGGTTTAAGTCACCATTTTGGGGTGATTGGGGTACTTGTCACTTTACAACTATTGTAATCATATCCAGTTCATTCTTAAAATCAACAAAGTTACTAGTTACCAAAAAATAAAAGGTCCAAACAGCTTGTGGACCTCACTATACACATTACCGACTTAAATTAAACCTTCTGGACTCCCTAAAACACATTTTTAGACTGATTTAGACCTACTAAAAATCCAAACTCAAAAATATTTACAAATATGGAAATTACAAAATTTCTCTAGACCTCAAAAGCTAGGAAATTAAATAAATTTTAAACTATAACTATCATTCTGTTTTGAGCAGAAGGCATCAATCTCTTAGGCCTCCACTTGTGTCAATAGTTCCCCTAAAAGTATCATGGGCCCCATGAATTTTTCTTGAGAACTTAACAGATTGCAAATCTGTTTCCATTTTTCTTAATTTCTTCTTCTTCTTCTCCATGGTCTGCATTGGATAGTCTCCAGTGCTCTTGGTCCTTCAATGTGATTCATCTAAATCTTATTTGAAACCATTTTTTAAGATAGTCTGGTAGCACTTTTCCTTTTTTTTTTTTTTAAATTTTCTTGAATTAGTTTAAATAAAATTCTAGCCAAAACTTCCCAAAACTCATGGACCAGCCAGCCAGAATTCCATTACTATGATTTCTTCTCATATGGCTAATTGAGAACCTAGATTTTCTTAAGTTCATTTGCTGCTTGGAGATTCTAAGAAGAGGAGGTTGCTTGGAGACAAAAACCTAGATGTCAATGGCTTAGGGAAGGTGATGGCTATACCAGTTTTTTCCATATGTTGGCAAATGGGAGAAAGAGGAAATCTCATTTCTGAAATTGGAATGGAATGGGCAAGTATTGACAAGAGATGAGGACATGGTTCAAGCCTTTGTGAACCATTTCAAGACACTCTATGAGTGCCTAAGGAGCTCAAGAGAAGATTTAGAGGTCTAGAATGGAGGGTTGGAAATAGAGATTTGATGGAATCCTTGGAAGATAAGTTTTTCTTTTCTACTAAAAGGGGCCTTAGACAAGGAGATCCTCTGTCCCCCTCCTTTTGACCTTGGTAGCTAATATTCCTAGTGAATTGATCGTAAGGGCAGATGCTAATAATATGATTAAAGGCTGGAGAGTTGGAATGGAGGAAGTGGTGGTTGCACAATTACAATTTACAGATTGTTAGTGGTGTTAGTGAAGGGGTATTTCGGTCTTTGTACTTGTTGAGAATGTTGATGTGTACTGTTATGTTAGTTCGAGTGCCTCTTACTTAAAGAAGGGCACTTAGGTCTTTTCCAATAAGTTAATAATATAATAACAGGTCTGGCCAAATCTAGGGATGACTTTTTTCTCTAATTCGAACCAG